GGTATTTGTATTTTTCTATTTTTTTTAATCAAAGTGCACAATATTTTGAATTCCAAAACAAATATGTCAGACTCAAAACAGATAACAGGCATGATATTAATTTAAAATGGCATGTGTAAACCATTGGTGAGGGACCATGTAGAGGATGAGTCCAGAGTCAGATACTTTAAATAGGAATTGTAGAACCGGGGACAAGCTGCTTAACCTCTCTATGCCTCAGTATATTCAACTATAGAATGGAGATAAAAACAGTACTTGCACCAGTACTGGGTGGGTAGTTCAGTGGTAGAATGCTTGCCTGGCATGCATGAGGCCCTGGGTTCAACCCACAGCACTCAGAGAGGGAGAACAGGTATTTTGTTGTAACATTTAAACAAGTTCAGATATGTAAAGCACTTAGAATAGTGTTTGAGACATAGTAGGAATCTTAGCAATTAGCTATTATTCAACCAAACTGAATTAATCTTTGAGTCCCAGCAAAGAACAACTTAAGGTTTCTGTTTTGTTGTTTTTTTGTATTGTCTTGTTTTTTTCAGTCAAGATTTCATTATGTAGGCCTGGCTGGCCTGGAACTTGCTACAAAGAAGGCCAGACTGCTCTGGAACTCACATTGATTCACCTGTCTGTCTCCTGAGTGCTGGGATTACAGGCACCACCACACTTAGCCCAAGTTAAAGTTTTAGATAAACTAATGCTTACCAAAACAACGGAAAACACCAACAAAGATGGTCACTGATCTTTTCTTTGAAATAATTTGGAACTTACAAAAAGTTACAAAAATCGCGCTGGGTGTGGTGGCACATACCTGTGTCCCAGCACTTGGGAGGCAGAGGCAAGCGGATCTCTATGAGTTCAAGGCCAGCCTGGTCTACATATTGAGTTCCAGGCCAGCTGGGGCTACATGGAGACCCTGTTTCAAAAAAGAACAAAACCAAAACAAACAAACAAAAAGTTACAAAAATCAAATTAGAAAGAATATTTATGTACCAATTTTTACCTAAATTTGCTTATCATTAATATCTTACACCCTTGTTAGTTAAGCTGCAGATCACTGCAAATGTGGGTCTCTACTTATTACTAATTATTTTTTTCTTTTCGTTTTTTGAGACAGGATCTGCCCTGAACTGACCCCCTCTTGCCTTTACTTCCCAAGTGCTGGGATAGCAGACATGTGCTACAATTCCTTACTTATTCATAATTTAGGGTTTACTCGTTTTCTATTGCTGAGCAACAATTTATCACCCGTGTATCAGCTTAAAACACTATCCGTTACTCTGGAGAGCTGGCTCTTGCTATTCTTCTAGAAGACCCAAGATCAGTTCCCAGCACCCACATCTGGTGGCTCACAACCACCTGTAACTCCAACTCCAGAGGATCTCTGCAAGCATGTGTACATACATGGACATACATGTACATATAAATAGTAAAATATTTTTAAAACATACTATCAATTTATGGAGGCAGGAGCTGAAGCACAGGCCATGGAGGAACACTGCTTACTGGCTTCCTCTCCTGGCCTGTGCTTAACCTGCTTTCCTATACAATACAGGACAACATGCCCAGGGATGGCACCACCCACAGTGGCCTGGGCCCTTCCACATCACTCAACAAGCAAGAAAATGTCCCACAGACATGGCCACAGGCTAGTCCAGAGGAGGCAATTCCCCAATTCCACATCTACCCAGGTATGTCAAGTTGACAACCAAACTATCCATCACAAATATAATAAGCCTACCCCATAGCTTTTCCTAGGGTAAAATAAAGAAACCTCTACTTACCCCAGAGTGAACACTGAAAGACCAAAGAGCTTCACATGGTCCTCACTGAAATTGGCCCATTAACATTTCCTCATAGGGGATTGTCTGGGTTGGTGAACCAATACATTTATTGGGGTTACCTAGAGACGTATGGCTGACTCAAAGGAACTACATCTCCTGGGCCACTCAAGAGTCCCACCCATAGCATGGAGGACACACACAGAACTGCACCACTGGAGTCTCGTCAGGCAATGATTGGGCAGTTACACTGTGTGGGAGGGTTCCTAGTCAATGGTTTTCCTCGTATATAACCTTGGCGGGGGGGGCTCATTGAGGATCTTGTGAAAGCTTCTGGGGCCCTTGAGTCCTATTGAGTATCCCCACGCCCTCCATGAAGTGATGTAATGGAGGGTCACGTGCAGGTGGTTGTACCTGTTCTGATTCAAGATGGCAATGGTCATGTCAAACCTGGAGTAAACAGCCACACAACAAAGCCAGATACAGAAACACAAGTATGGCATGTTTTCTATCATATGTGGATCCTAAAAAAATATAGGTGATGGGCTGGAGAGATGACTGAGCGGGTAAGAGCACTGGCTGCTTTTCCAGTAGACCTGGGTTTGATTCCCAGCACCCACATAGTGGCTAACAACCATCCATAACTCCCAGTTCCAGGGACTTTGATGCTGTCTTCTGACCGCTGAGGGCACAGGTGCACTTACATGCAGGTAATACACTCATACACATAAAATATAAATAAATTTTTAAAAAATCAGGGGCTGAGTGTGGTGGCATAGGTCTTTAATCCTAGCACCCGGGAAGCAGAAGCAGATGGAGCTCTATGAGTTCAAGATCAGCCTGGCTTACATAGTGAGCTCCAGGCTTGCCAGAACTAGTGAGACCCTGGCTTAAAATAAAATGGTGACATGAAAGTAAAAGGTGCACAGGGCTGGAGAGACAGCTCAGCAGTTAAGAGCACTGGTTGCTCTTATAGAGAACCAGGATTTGGTTCCCAGCACCCACATGGTGGCTAACAACTGCCTGTAACTTCAGTTCCAGGGCATCTCACATTCTCTTCTGACCTCCGTGGACATTGCATGCATAGGTGCACTTACATACATGCAGGCAATACACTCATACACATAAAAAAATATTAAATATTTTTTAAAAAGAAAGTAAAAAGTGCCATCAGAGAAGAAGAAAGCAAATGGAGAGAAGGGTACTGGGGTACTGCATGATCAAAGAATGCCCTTTTCTGATCTCCTTGAGTGCCCTCACATGTACAGATACATATACATACACACATAACAACATTAACATTTTTAAAATCTGTTTTAGTCTGTTTGGGTTGCCATAACAAAATTCCATCAACTGGGTAGCTTAAATAACAGAAATTTCCTTCTTCATGATTCTGGAGGTTGAAAAGCCAAGATCAAGGTATGCTCAGGTTTGGTTTCTCCTGAGGCCTCTTTCCTTCCTTTGTAGGCAACTGTGAACTGTGTTCTTACTGTTCCTTTCATAGATTTATTTAGTTAGTTATTTAGTTAGCTAGTTAGTTAGTTAGTTAGTTAATGAGACAGGGTCTCCCCTGTAGCCCCAGCTGGTCTGAAACTCACTATGTAGACCAGGCTGGCCTTGAACTCACAGAGATCCACCTCCCTCTGCCTCCAGAGTGCTGGGATTAAAGGTGAGCGCCACCACGCCCAGCTTCATAGCCTTTTTTCTGTACATGCACAATCCTGTTGTCTATGCTAATTTTCTTTTCTTTTTTTTAATGTGTATGAGTTTTGCCTGCAAGTGCACCATGCCATATAATGCCAGTACAGGCCAGAAGAGGGCGCCAGATCCCCTGGAACTGGAGTTAGAGGTGGTTTTTAGTCGCCATGTGGGTGCTGGGAACTGACCTGGGTCCCCTGCGAGAGCAGCCAGTGCTCTTAACCTTTCAGATATGGCTCCAACCCCACAAGCTTGCCGTTCTTATAAAGTCAGCAGATACTGGATTAGGGCTTCCACCTGTGGCATGTTGTCAAAACACAATTATGAACACATTAGTTACTGAGCTGGTTGGCTAGTGCTGTGCCCGTAGCTCAGTAGATTATCTCATTTAACAGCCATTATTAAATTAAATTGCTTACTATTATGTAAAATTCCAGTTTTAGCAAAAGTTTTCCTTGATCCTAATTAGAAAACCTGATGCTTGGAGCCATCTGTGACTCGCCCATGTTTCCCATGCTCCCGTCTTGGGGCAGTTTCCTTCATTCACTAAATTCTTCTGAGCAGATGAGCTCGGTAGAGAGAAACAATAATTAAAATTTCTGCTTTCAATCAGTATAATCAAGTAGGAAAGACTTTATGCCCATTTCTCCTCATGCACTTTGAAATCTCCTACATAAAGTATTTATAGAACCATTTGGTGAAGTTCTTAAGAAAGCAGAGGCACTGGAAATTAATGATTTTAAGGAAGCAAAAACCTGTCTGAATATTTGGTTTTGCATCATCTTGTCTGGATGTAACTGTGGAGCAGCACAACTGGTGAAAATCCACCTGGGATGAGGTGAAAAATAATAGAAACAACACACCTGGACATGGACCGCATACGTGCCCACGCACACATAAATATAAATAAATAATAAATAAATAAATAAATAAATACCATAATTGAAAAACGACAGGTGTGGTGATGCATGCCTATAATCCCAGCACTGGAGCCTCAAACATAGCGAGTTTGAGGCCACCTTGAGCTACACGAGAAAATAGGAAAGAGAAGAGGAAG